GAACATCTTACTACTTTCCAATAGACCATATCAAAATAGACTACAGGAAAAAAAATTAGAGAATTTTAATATCTTTATCTTTAAGTACTCCGTATATCAATTTGATTAGAAAACACATAAAGAGTAAATATTCCACTTGTATATATATCCGTGAAACTATTTTTTACCCGATCTCTAACTTGATGTTAGTATTTCTATGAGCTTGAAAGTAAAACCAAAACTTATTCAGATATATTGATTATTTATTATATTAAATAAATGATAAATAAATAGATGATAAAATAAATAGATGATAAATCAGAAAGAGAACTAAACTATAAAAGTGAATAAAGAAGTACTTTTGTGATGCATAAAAAAGTAATAACTTTATTCGTGGGTAAGTGCTTTGGCACCTATTATCAAACAGTAGCGATAATTTTAATACACATACATATTATTAAATATGATTAATTTTTTACAACAAATCTTTGTTACACACTTTTTTTTTATAATAAATTTTGAATTTATATATAAAAATAATATTAATAATCTTACCTTTCCGGCTGCTTTCTTATAACGTCGTGTGGCTTCATTAATTAAATCCTTAACTAGTAAGTCGCCGCTTCCGCAAGGTACGACTATACGTACAGCACCAAAACAAACGGTGACCTTCATTTTCTAACACTAATATTTTATTTACTAAAAAGTATCACTTAAATTCGTTACACACGGCATAAACCTCTACTTTAAAACAAACCAAAAAAACCAGCAAATACAAAACACAAGCACACAATTTCTACACTGGTGCCTTTTTTCATTTATTTGTTAGCTGCATATTTTTATTTTGTTTGAATTTATCATTAAGGTGGTTGCATGCAGCAATTGCTGTTCTCCCAAGAATTATGGTTATTTATATTATGCAGCTGCCGCGAATAGTAAAACACACGTTAGAGTGAAACAACTTGAAGCCAGGATCTACAAACACTTTTCCTGCAGCGTAAACCACGTTAAGGTGTAAAAGAGAACAAAATTAACGTATAAATATTTATATTTTTTATTTTATTTAAATTTTTGCCATAACATATTTTTATAAATTTTTAAATACATTATTTCGCATTTATTGTTGCAAATAGTTAGTTTAATTTTACAATTCTTTTTTGCTTTGTATTTCGTTAAATAATTTTATTTTGTTTTGTTGTTATATTTGTTATTGGTTTTAACCCACAATTTATGAATCACAAGCACAGCTAGAAGTTAAAACAAAATACGAAAAATGAAGATCGGCAAAATGTTTGTACTAAAAACTGGTATTTACACAAGCATTCTGCAACCTCAAAAACAGGTACAAATGAAACAATTGCAAGAATTTTTGCTTATTTAATTATTTTTCAATTTATTACTAGTATTTTATTAGTGTATAATATAAAATGTACAGCATAGTTTAATAAAATTATATAAACAATTCATTATTAAGTAGGTAACAATTTTAAAGCTTTCGTTATTAACAGTTTTTAATTGAAAATTTGTCACGTTATAGCTTTTCAAATTCGTTTTCGCATTTTAATTATTTTATTTATGTATATTTCTTCGTGTTTAAAGCACTTGCGCTTTTATATATTAAATTTATTTATTATTTAAATAATAAATTTCCCGTGCTCGTCCGCACTCTTACACGTCCCAACCACTGCATTTACGTTCGTTAACTGAAGGTTTGTAACGTATTTTTGTGTTTTTGACAGTATAATTTGCAGTTTTGTAGTTGTAGCGCAGCAATTAACTGTCAGTGACAACTGCAGGGTGCTATTCCTAAAAAAAATTTCTGACATAGCGACAAAATCTTAAAAATATATTATATATAGTGGTTCGAAAAGTAGTGGACTACAACAATATAACAACAAAAATTCTTTTTATGTTATTTTAATTAATTAAATTGTCATATTTCAGTGTACGTAATATATAAAAATACTTAATAAAAGCAGCAATATATAATGATTTCATTCTATGTTTTGTAGAATTATTTAATAAAACTTTATGTTATAAAAATAATTGCCAATAGAGTTTTTTCCAACAAAGAAACAAAAAAATTTAATGTATCTTAAAAAAATAAATGGAAAAGTTATAAAATATATATTTATAAAACTTATACTTATATTAATTAATAACTAATCGTTAATACACAACAATATTTCATTTAATAACAACCTTTAAAAAAGAATTTAGAATTAATAATAGCTAACAATATAATTTATTATTTAACAAACGTCATTATATAAGGTTAAAATAAAATCTTTTAAGAACAAATAAAGTTTATCACTTAACTATTGACTAATTTGCCCTAAAAAACCAAAATTATTATAATTCTTAAGTTAATAGAAAATATGTAATAGCAAGGTTTGTAACATTTGCATACATAGCACTTATCGTGATTATAGCAATTGTAAGATACTGTAGGAATTCGAATGAAATAAATCTTTCACACTTATGGTAGTTTTAAACAGTATTTTGCAGTAGAAATCTGTGAAAACTAAGAACTAAATCAATTGACTGCTTTCTATAAAAAATTTTTTAAAAAAACTATGTAAATATTCTTGTCTGTTACATAAAATATAAATAATAATAAATCTTAATACAAAACTTTTCGTGCAAAGGACATTACCATATTATAAACCAGCAGCGAAAAGAAATACATTTTTTAAAACAAAAAAAATAAAACACATTGCATTACATTTTAGTCACTATCCTCTGTTTTCACTTTTTTATTTTTCTTGCTTTTCTTTTTTATAAATTCACTTTTATCCAAATTATTTTGGAAGAAGTTAGTTTCTTTGCGCGCTTGTGAAACCTCGTTCATCATACGCTGCTTATGTACAGCTTGTTCATAATTCATACGTTCCGTTAAATGCACCCATTTGAACCGTGGTAAATACTTCATAGTCCATATATAATCATAAAACTGTGACTTTTTCCGTGTTGAAATCTGTTTATTATTGAGCATTGGTACAATTTGTTTAGCCACACGTTTTGATTCAAATTCGACCCAACCTTCAGTAAAGTGACGAAGATATGGTTTGCGTTTATTCTTCTTATACCAACCTATAAATATAAAGTATATTATTATCTGTGATAAATTATTCCATTAACACTAACCTGGTGTTTTTTCTGGTTGTAAATATACACGTCCTATTTTTCCATATTCACCAAGAATTTCACGCATTCGCGTTACATTCATATATTTTGGTATATTTGATATGTAAACAATGCCTTTCTTTCGTTTCTTTTTAGGTTTTTCTAAATTTCCTAAATCCATTTCATCATCATCATCATCATCATCATCGTCATTCTTGTCATCATTGCCATTCATTGGTTGGTCTTCCATAGAAAGTACGTCAGTGTTATCTACTTCTGGCTCATCATTACTTACCGGTTCTTCGACTGTCTCCTCAAAGTTTTCATCATCTTCTGACTCTGCTGGTGGTGGTGGTGGCAGCCCAAAGTGTTTAGACTTTTTAGGACTTTTTGCTTTATCTTTTGTTGTTTTGTTTTCTAAATTCATTTCATCATCACTTTCGGTGATTGGTTGCTCCTTTGTGGTAAGTGACTCGGTTTCATTTTTTTCAGGTTCATCGGCTACTTCAAACTGTTCCTCATCTTCTGATTCTAATGGCGGCGGTGGTGGACCACATTGTTTAGACTTTTTAACATTTTTCGTTCTAGTCTTTACTTTTAATTTATTTTTAACCATATTAAACTTATCGAAGAAATGTTTTGGATATTGTGTTTCGTATTATACAGCACAAAATGACAGCAAATGTCACACGTGAAATGTAAGTGTTGCCAACGCCATCATATTCATTCTGAATTTTAAAACAATGAACACACTGTAAAAAAAATTAAAAATTGAGTGTAATTAATATACACATAATTCAATGTTTTTGGTAAACGGTATGGATTTTATGTATAATATATAGCATTGTGGTTAAATAAATTATTTAGCTCAAGCTTGTAAAATAAATTATGAATAGTAAAAATGTTTACTATGACGTATGTTTCTATTTTCCTTTTTTTATATATTAAAAACCTCAATAACACAATTTTATTATATAACCAAACTAATGTCACGTAAAAAAATAATTTAGTATATCTATTATAGTGAGAAGAACTACTTTATTCTTTATGAATTCAACAATTGTAAGTTGTCTATTTGCTTTAAATATTCTTATGATAATGAATAGTCATTGAGTGAAAAGTGGGTAAAACTAACACCACCGTTTTAAAGTAAGGAAGTATTATCTAAAGTGTTATATATGTAACACCAACCGTAAGCAAGCAAAATGTATAACAAACTGAGGCACAAGAGCAACTTCAGAAACATTCCATTAAAAACTGTCAAAATAGCTATAAAAATGGGTAAAAGTGCTAACTAACAGCATCGAAAATGGGAAAGATAAATTGCTGTGCCTAAAACTTTCTGACAAAAATCTCTGTATAAATATATTTCATGTTAAAACAGGAATTGATCTATACATTTTAAATAAAACCATATTTATGGTAAAAAAATTTAACTAATTACGGTTAATATTGAATTAATTTTAGTTAATAAAACAAATATGCTTTTAAATACTAGGTATTTTAAAAAATTTTATTTCTTTTTTATAAATTACTAACAAAATTTTCATATTTTTACTTTTATAGTATGAAATCACACATAAAGACAATTATAACAGTTCGCATGTACATACTTTGATATTGGTGTTGTGGTTTGAATTAGTGCTATTATTAAATATTATAAAGACTATAATATAGAAATTTTGATTGATTTATAAAAAGTATAAGTTTAAGTAATTGAGAATTATAAATGTAACTTAAATAAATTTTTTGTTATGAATACATTTAAAAATCTTCTAAGAATATTATGTTATATACAATAGTTTTCACAGCTTAATAAAATCTTATATATAATATCAAACACTTATAAGACAAATACTTAAAAAATAATTCACAAATTTAATACAATTTAAAATAAATCATTTACTTAACATAACATTATTACAACTACAATATTACAAACTATTCACAAGTAATAAGTACAACAATACTAATTTACAGGCCGAATGCTTTAATAATTTCTACAATACTTTGATAAGTTCCTGTAACAATACCCAGTACTGCTATCAACATGATAACTATATTCTTCAGATATATCCAAAAGTTAAGCGCTTTAGGAACTTGAGCACGCACTACAAAATCAATCAATACTGGTATGACAAAAGCCAGCGAAGTAGAACACATTGCACCAATTAGCGATATGAAGAGACTTAGTTTAGGTACCGCTAAGGCCACGATAACTATAAAAGAGATAAAAATATTTCATAACAATATTATTCTACTGATAAAATGGAATCGAATTTCTCTATATTTACATTGATTAGCAATGTTTGAGGTAAAAAGAAATAAGTAACTGTGCTACATATTAAATGATTGATTTAAAGTACTTCAAATTAATAACAATTAAGTAGTTGACAGAGATATGAAAGTCATTGAAAAAATTCTTGACGTCTATAGTGCAGTCTGATATCTAGACTAATCAAGAGTCAAAGTAGATTTCTGTTGTAACTTTTAATTCCACTTATGAGTGCAGTGCGCATTTTAAACTTACATGTTAATATGACCATTATGAATCGTAGGATAACCTGTATTGTTATTGGAAACTTCTGAGTACAGCTCGATGATTCCTTCATTGGTGGCCAAATAATTCTGATCATAATAAAGAACTGTATTGGATAGCCAAAAAACACACCTAAAGCGGCTATAATTTTAACAACTTGTGACATGCTGTGAATGAAATTAAATAAGTATATAAACTTTCATATATTAACTACAGAGAACACGATTCCAATTTTCCGGCACGCCAATTTGATAACGGTTTTTAGTGAAGACAACTATTGTGAGAAATTTTTTCTACAATGCTGCATATCAATATAGCTGAGTTTTCCAGATATCGAGTTTTCAAGTTGAAAATATTTAAATGGAAACCAACAACAAGTAGACGCGTCTACTACCCATTTTATTCTTCGTTTGTCTAATCTAAGTAAAAATTACATATACTCAATAGCGGGAGCTTACTTCTCGAGATTAACTCTATCTTATAAACCAGAGCGGAAAAACTTGCTCAAATTAGTTGATTTCACTAAAATCCATTGTCAAATTAAAGAGTGGAAGAAATCGGAATTACGCACTACTGAGTACTAAAAATTTTATACAACTTACACTTCTTCCACTTCCAAATTTAAAGTTATACTGCCTTGTACTTCTTCACCCCAACGTAAATAGCTGACGAAACCGGTGAAAAGAAATAGAGCTGTAACTACAATCATAGTCAGATTTAGAACACCAAATTTACTGCTGAAATTTTTGGGTTCTCTCATAGAATTTCTAAGCGGTAAGATAAGCGCAATGCCTTCATAGGAGAATAGCGCTGTGCCAAAGAATAAAGACATCTGTGTGCCATTCGTAAAGTAATTACGTTCACTTATTGGTGGCATAGGTCCTTGTTGGAATGCAATTGTTAGTGTAGCTACTAAACCAAATAGAAGCGCGAAATTTGCTAACATAGAAACTGGAGCTATATATTTTAAATTAGTTAATAAAGACGGTATCATAGCTGGTAATAATGTTATTAACATCACAAGTTCCTGACTGATGTGAATGCCATTTTGTTCAAGTACCTTTAAAATAATAATAAAATAATATTTAAAAAATACTTTATATCTTCTATAAACTCACTTGATGTACATTTTCTGTTATAAACACAAAATAAATTGAACAGAAACCAAATTGCGTTACACATAAGAACATTTCCACAATAAACTTCATAAACTTCGAGAAACGTCTTAAAGGCAGTGGACCATATTCGAAGGACTTTTCAACAGTCTCAGGATAATCATAGAATGTAGCACCTGCAGTTTTCGCCACCGCAGACACTGAGCAGTCAATTAGCATTCTTTCACAATGAACACATATCACAGCCAAAATCGGTAGCAGTACAGTTGCTCCAATCAACCCACCATTTTTATAGCAATCACCCATCGCGAATAGGCCAGCTCCTACACTGCCCTTGAAGAGATGAGTAGCAGTTGCTAGTCTTCTATTAGGGAAAAAATAATATTAAAATATGAAAATTAATGCAGTTGACTTTAATTGTCTTACCCGTTTGTATTCCTTTTCTTGACAGTAGACTCAACATCTTCAACATTACCATTTTCATCGGAAGACTTCGTAACAGCTTTTATATCCATAGGTAAACCCATATTTTTTTAAATCGTATAACTAATATTAAGAAATTATAAATTAATAATTAATTATATATACTTAGCATTATTAAATTTTATTGGTAATGCAACTGTTTTCTGTTTTATTCTGTAATGTTTTTATTTTCTTTTGCATATAACGGAAGTAACTTAAACTTAGTTATAAGTGTCGTTTGTATAGCTACATTCGGTTTAATAGTTCATGAGAAAGCTAACTAATAGTTATGCATTAAAAGTTTTATTTACATAAATTTTCTATTCAATGATAGATTTTATACACGAATTAGAAATATTTATTTATATATAAAAATGAATACATTTCTTTTATTTCATCATTTTTAATGTAAGTTATAAATTAGCTAATATTTTAAACAAACAATATAAAATTATTTGGTCTTAAAAAATAAACAATAATAGTCATATAAGATATTCTTATAAAAATTATTTTTAATAAATACAAATAATATCAGCAATAAAAAATAGCAGATATATTTTTTATTTATCCTATTTGATTAAAATTATTTATAAGACTGTTTTTGCTTGGTTTTCTCTCTAAGCCCACGTCTCTACTAAACACTAATAAGATTTATTCTACGTCTTGAGTAGTAATGCTTGTAGCATATAAGTATGAAGGTAAATCTAATGCACACATACCATATATACATAAATAAATTATTTTAAGTATTTATTTTAAATTTACGGTTTATGATACGAGTATAGTTCATAAATTTATTCAGATTGCTTTAATGGACATTTTCAAAATTTTTCTATTTTCCTATAGTCATATATGCATATGTGTATAATCCATTTGTTATGAGTATCAGGCAAATATAATTGTTTGAACCTTAATACACCTATATATCAGTACCTTGAGCAGTATATTTTTCCAAATTCTGGACTGTTCAAAAACATATGGGAATATATAAAAAACTAAAAACCGACATGATAATAATAATTTTTTTTTTTATATTTTGTACATAAAATATATGTAGTCATAAATTGTATAATAGAGAATTTTTAAAAAAATTGAATACATGTGTGTACATAGTCAGGATATGCTCACCAAAAGTGTAGCATATTGAACGCGACCTAATATTAGTAAACTTACTATAAAATAACTGGGCCATTTTTTACTTGAAAAAACAGACCCATTAAAAATAGTAATCTTAAAAATGAAAAAATCATTAAATAAAAATAAACAATGCAAATAATAATATTATATTATCACAAATTTCAATCAACTCACTATAAGTGTATTGAGAATATTGTACCTTTGCGATAATTTAACTTCTCTCACTTTAAGAATTAAAACAAAAATAATAAATTTATTTATTATTATTTATTTTTTATTTTTATTCATTTTATTTTTTTTATTATTTATTATTTTTAATTAAAATAATTGAATTGATGTAGACATTTCTCTCAATTAGGTTCTCTCGTAGTAACATAGTATAGTTTATTGTTTATTGTTAAACGAGTAAGAGTAACTGATTCCAAACATGAGATTGACTGAAAACTCGTTACTTTTTAAAATTACTTTAATTCCTTTACGGATCCATAGGACGAGATAGTTTGAAAAACCGCTAGGTAAGCCCTAGGTCGAAGTTGAAAGTTACTTACAGAAGCTGAACATTCGCAATTATAATACCAAAGCACTGGATCGTTCGGTATGGATAGTATTTATGGAGGAAGCTTGAGTACAGCCAGAAATGCAAATTTCTTGACCAAGTTTCCTTAGAGTCAATCAGTTAATTAATGTCTTACAATTTCTCATTTTATTAGATAACTTGGAAATGTTTTGAAAATTCTTTTTGATTTAAAATCAACACTGAAATTAGATATGAAACCTTAAGTGGGGACGTATATTTATTTATTTATTTATTTTTTTTTTTTTTGTTGATTATAAAAAATTTATGATTGTTTCTGCATTATATGTACTTTGATTTGTGAACACCTTTCATATTCCTTTGCATTTTTGATTGAGATAAGATCATTGTATATTAGTTTGACAAGTTGGATTCGCTGATTAGTGGGAATTTAACGTAATTGAAGTTAAAATTATATACGAGTATTTGATATGTTATGTCCAAACACGCCCCTTAAAATTAATTTTATTATATACGAGTAATTTATGGAAACTTTTTTTGGAACGAACATGGATTACCCTATTTTGTGATTTTTTAAACTAAAGTCCAAATTATGACACTCGACTCGTTGGAGTCGTTGTACAATATATAATTTTGCTTTGGTTGATGATAAAAATTCATGAATGAAGAGATTGTTTATTTTATTTATTATTGCAATAAAAACTTTCAAGATTTGCATATTGAACAAAAATTTCTCTGACGTAAAGGTAAAAAAATTAATCTAGCCTTAACTGGTTATCATGAAATTTTGGCTAGAAATTTTTTCTATAATAAACTGGAATAATAACTTTTAAACTTTAATAGCAGTTGGTATTCTTTTTAGTGTTTTCTACTAAAATTAAAAACAAAAATTTGTGAATGTTATTAGATTTTTTTAATTTGGTTGGTTGGTTGCAGTGGCAGGCCATTAGATAACTTCCATAGCTATACCTCAATTAGCGATTTTTCGCCATTTTGCTACCACATTCCGCGCAAGAACCCTAGTATGGAAGAGTAGAGACTAAATCCATCCCTCCGAATTAAGTAGGTCTTTTGTCTTCACCGATGAACAATCTGATGAACTATTAAAGAAGTATCTTCCTAAGAAGCTATTTCTTCTGGACGCCAAAGCCGGGCATTCACAGAGAAAATTTACTATAGTTTCTTTCACCTGCGGGTTTTCACAACTTCTGTAGTGAAGATTATGGGGAATGTATAACAAATTAAAATCTTTTTTCGTAGTACTTATTTTATTGAAATATATACGCTCCGTATATAGAGGTCTCAAGCAAGCCCTTCTCCTCAAAAAAACATTTTATGTAGATTTCAAGAATAAGATTTAATTGTATTTGGATTCCACTAAAGTGTAGTTACAGAAATTTCAACTTTCATGAATATACTTCAATGACAGCATATATAAATAGATTTTTGAAGGAAAAAAAGTTAGCACCATGGTAAAAAACATTATGATATCTATATAAATGCAGAAGAAACAGATTCGAGATTTATATAGAACTAAAATAGCAAAATTATAATCATTATGTTAATTGTGCACTCGTGTACTGGAGAAAAGTTGAAAGTATTTCAGTGGAAGCTTTAACTCATGCTATAACGAACATTTTACGCCGAGGTTTCGCTCACTGGATTCCAGGTTTAGTCCAATCTAGGTTTCTCCGCTGTGAAACCAATGGATTTGTAGTAGAAATGTAAATTTCTGCCAAGGCTTATACGGTTACTAACGAAATGTGTATTTCGTTTGTCAAGGAGCGATATATTGGTGATCGTAAATGAGAGTTGTTACCACCTTGGAAAAGATCACTAACGAAATTTTTATTTCGTTAGCCGTGGACTCGATATGGGGGATAATATCTCTGTGTAATTATCACCTTACCACTGATTACTCAAAAAATGTAGATTTCGTTAGTAATAATTCTTAACACAATATTAATATATATTATTATGCTGTTATGTTATCTAAAACTGTCTGGGTTTTTAGTATTATTATGAAGATCACTTGGAGAATATCATCTGCTATTTTAAACTAATAACCAAAGAAATAAATAAAAACTTAATGACTGTAATAAAAAATAATTTATATATGCAAATATATATTTTATATTTCAAATATGTTAAAAATATGATTAAAATAAATTTTAAGTATGCTTTACTAGAAATATTTTTGTTGACTCCGTAATGCCAGAATAATTTTTATTTATTCACAAATAATTATATTTTGCATACCATTTTAAGATGAATTTGCAATATAAAAGTAAATGTGCTTTAATAATTTTAATAGTCTGAACGTAAATAACAAAAACACTTCAGTTTGACTATTAATTTGCGTAAGTAAATGATCATTAACTATAATAAAATATTTATTAATTTTTAATGCAAAAGACGGTTAGGTCAAGTTGAAGGGGCGCATGTTAATGCACTAAAAATATTAGTCTTTCCGCAAGGAAGGCGAACTACACTAATCATTGTTTCCATTAGAGTTCTAAGTACTAAGTTTGCTAAGGCATTTAAACTTTTAGATGCAGTTACGAAGAAGCAATATCTCCACGTGCGTTATTTCTCCCAGTAAAAAAACTAACTCCTAGAGTTTGAATCTGCGGTGCTAGACAAAAACTTAATAAGTGAGATTGAAGATAATTTCCTTCTTTCCTTTATTATGCAGCTACTTTCCAGTCCCATTTAGTACTTCAATAAGTATATGAGTTCCACGTTTTTATAGAAATTCAAAGAACCTTTCATTATTCCCATATCTAATCTTAAAATAACTTTGTACAATACGAGCTACAAATGTCACTATTTTGATGAAGAGTCGGTCTGCAATCAAGGCAATTTAATTCAAAAATTTGTTTCAGTTTTTCTCAGGATGATATTTATGGAATTGGGTAACTTAGCTGCTATGAGTTATTTCAATTCGACTTTCTTATATACCTTGTATATTTCGTAGACAATTAGCGATGAATTGACTGAAGACAATTGAATTAAGAACTTTCGAATCAAGTTTCGTAATAATATATCACATCTCACTAAGAAAGATTGTACGAGCCTTCTAATGTAAGACAAAATCAAATAGACTTTTGAAAAATATTATTTTCTGTTTCTTTAGAATGTATTATTATTAAAAAAAAAAAATTAATGTATACGATTGTCAACAAATAAATTTAGTCATTGAATTTAAGTAATAAAAATGTTATATGTGTGTATGAAAACTCTTCGTATTTGACTATGGAATATAAAATATGAGAAAATAATCCTTCATTATAGAACTCGATTCCATATATACTTTATATAACAATTTTTTATATTTGAAAGCCAAAATTAACTTAATTTTTTTTGTTTGTTTAAACTTAAATTTTTTTTTTGATTAAAGAGGATGCTAAGAGGATTGCGTTCCTTAGATCACTGTAGACTGCGACCACGGATGGGTC